CCTTGCTAATTCTCGTTGGAGCTAAATTTCTCACTTTCCATTCCTATTAATCAGCAAAAATTTGACGCTGAAATTAAACCCTTTGTTATAGCTCATTTTCTAACTGAATTTAAGTTCTTGTCTCCTTGCTAAAACTAAATTCTTGTCATTAAATCCTTATTATTCGTAAATGACTTTTATCATTATCCTGTTGCAAAAAATCAAATATTACTCGCGCTGCACGGTCTGAAAAACCGGTTAACTATGCTTAATTCAACCATTTTTCACGTGATTAAACAAATTATGGGGACTTCCTCAAGTTTCTTAGAAAAAGTAATGACTATTTTGAGTCTGGAACTGACCCTGAATCTATTTGAGAGTGTGATTCATCTTGCTGCTTAACGACTCCACTAGCTCCGTTATGCAGCATTTGAAAGATGTGCATGATAGAGAACTGTCAAAAATTTGGCTTCCAGGGCATGCTTCGAACGGAGCCAATGCTTTTTGGCGTTTCGAAAGATATCAGACGTGAAATACGAGCGACTTTAAATCGAAATTTTGCAAGTGTGATACTAAAACTGCATTCCGTAAGTGAAGCAAAAATGGAAGACGGCGATCACGGAAAAGAGAAACGCGGATTTTGGAGGAAACGAATCAAATTTCGTGGCATATGTCAGTTATGCATTATGTATGCATGATGCATTTCCTGAAAAAGGGCATGTACCTTACAGACTGAGCCTACTCCGAATTTTTCAAGAATTTATTGAAAATCCTATGAACTTTCAAACACTGTTACACAGAAAAAATAGCATATTATTACAAAAAGTATCAAGACTTTCATGACAGCCCAGTATTAATGCAGTTACTGACATGCTCTCACATGCTATGTGCAACGATGCTAAATCCAGATGTTACTAATTCTTTATATTCCAATACAAAAATTTGGAGTATATGTTCGGCCAGTTTATTTTTATAGTATCCTCGGTTCCAAGCCGAAATTCTGGATAGTTGGTGGTCCAGAAA